GTATATAGAACGATTTCATCACTATTCGTATTATGCCAGGTATTTATCAAAGAGTCTGCGAGTCTTTGTGGCGTAGAGCACGGGCTTGTGTTGAATTGAGAGGTGTTCACTTTTAACACCTTCTTTAGGTTTGATGTTGCAGCATTTATTCAGCATTTCGCTGCTCCCAATGTTATATCCTCATAAGTTTAGAAATAATCTCGTAAGTTGTATCATATGTGATGTTTGTTATTGTCGTCTTTAATTCTTATTAGCCTTATTCATTTTTAAAATAAACGTTTTCATTGTCTTGAAGCTTCTTTATTTATAAACAAAAACAAATATGCCGGCAAAACCAGTGGCATGCACAGGCAAGGTTTAATGAATGGTAAGCTTCTACTCTAATGATTCGGGATAAGACACGCATATTATTCAATTGAAGTTGTAATGAGGTCCCATAACTTTCCTCACATGCCATAGAGTGTTTCCAGAATCAAGCTTTAAGGTGTTTTCAGAATTGAGGAAGCTAAAGCTTTTCATAAGAATATTTCAGGATTTTACTCAAATATTCAAACCTAGATATCTCCAAACGAGGCCAGTGACATAGAAAATATTTCCTACTAGGGGTCCAGGTACCCCAGTTTCTACGTCTCTGGTTCAGTTTGGGCCAGGAAACTCTGCGTGCTCATTGCTCATGATGGGCTCACTGAAGGTCTAAAATTTTTACTCAGTGTCTGTATCCGCTCCGTAGATATATTTTTTCGTAAAAAAAACTGTATTAACCTGTATCTTGGCAAGGGAACACCCATATTTATAGAATCTATTTTTGTTATTTTTGGATTTACTTACTACCCTAAAAATATTGGCACGTCCTTCTGAAGCAGCCTGTATATGCACAAGGTGAAAGGCGCAATAGTGACCAAGGCTATGAGCGAAATATACACGACTGCAACGTATGTGAGAAGAGCCGTAGGAGCTGGGGCCTGATTCTAAATGAATTTCCGCTTTTGAAATTAATTTCGATGTCGCGTTTCCGTCATATACAGGGTGTCCAGTAAGTACCAAGCCAAACTTAAGAAGAAGGTAGGCTTTGGACTGAGCTCCCAAATAACAAAAACTTACCTATATAAATGTGTCACCGTTTTTGAGATATTGAATTTTTTCTTAAATTTTAAAAAAACGAACCTTTTCATCTGTGGTCTTTAGCTGCATGTACAAATAAGGTTATACGTTGTTCATTTTTCCTATAAAATACTTCTGGTAGTTGCTTTATCATATACAAATGCAATGTAGTTAGAGGATATTAAGGAACCATGATCAAATAAGGACTGTTTTGGGATTTATAACCTTCTGATATTGCTTCCTCAACTTTCATAAAATCATATCAGAAGCAGGTAATAATAATATAGCTTTGTACTATTAAGCATGTCACTGATCGGTAACTAGTGCATCTTGAATTTAAATCCAATAATTATATTGTAGCGTGCCTCAGTTACTTACAAAAGCAGCTATCACTTTTTTCTATTCAAAGTAGTACGCCTTTCTGAAAGCTGTATTCAATGAGCAATCTTTTTATTTAATATAATTCAATAACTACAAAAATAAGGTGACGGTCTTATCTGCCTTGCCCGGAATCAGTTGCTAAGGGTTTTCTGCTGCCGAACCATTTCAAAAAACTGTTCTTATTATGTAGAGGAAACTAAACTCACAGCACTTCTCTTACAATACGTTTTTGTTGAAAACAGACATCATCTTGATGACTGGTAGTCAAGCACGACAGCTTTTCTACAACAAGGTACCGATTATTGGAGGAAGTTGATCGAATAAATCTAAATACCTTTTCACGATAGTCGATCCGTGGTATAGAGTTTCCCCTTTGTGCCTTAAAAATATTGAAACATTCAAAATAAGAACATGTGGCATTTCAGTAATAAGCAATGTGATTCTTTTATAAACCACTAACCCTACTTCCTGCTAAAACAACGTAAGTCCATCACAATTTTTTCCTGCCTTGCACTGTTATTAAAAATTATTATTAACAATCTGTGAAGGTTATTTGAAGTTTCAATTTTCTAGATCTCAAGTGCTCAAGTATCAACTCAAAAGAGTACTTTAAATCCGGTTTATTGTTCATATTATTCATCCCACCCTCCCAGATACACTTTCATCCAACCAGATATACCTCGATCATAATGACATGATAACATTAAAATTCCGAGGACGTACAAATAATCTTGTATTACTCGTATGAAAATGTTCCTCTGTTCTTTCCATATATGTATTTCTAACCTTCTTATCACGGACCTCTTGTATATGAAAACGACAAAATGCCCTGATAGGCCCTGTGCGAGAAGAATGTGATTCTGTCTGATATTTCAAAATTAATCCTATGCTCCTTCCCTACTAGATTAGTTTTTCTTTTGATGCTTTCTCTACGAATGTTTTTCGGACATGTGATTCTTATTATTTATAACTTGTTTCTGGCTAATGAGTTATAACCCAGTGCCATAAGAAACGGTTTATTCGACATTTTTATTGAGCCCTAAAAAATTAAAAGTTATGCGACTTACGAGGTTTCTGCAGTGTCAGATTCAATTGAACCCTTTTGACCCGCATTCTTTGTGGATGGTAAGATTATATAAGCATTCTGTTCCTTGGGTGTCTTCACCAGGACGAGAAAAATGAGCTGGGAGAATCACTGCCATTGTTCATCGTGGTTGCAGTCATATACCAAGATCACGACCTAGCACACACGTCTACAGCAACAGAAATAGAAATTGCAAAGCTTTGATTGGGAGATAATGCAGCACTCACCATATTCTCCAGACTTAGAGCCTTTCGGTATTTCACGTGTTGCGCAATCTTGTTGGTTGAAGATTCGAGTCAACTGCGGCTTTCCAAAATCACCTCTATAAGTGCTTTTAACAAAAGTCTCGGCAGTTTTACGCAATCAGTGCAATGATTTTACCAAAACGTTGGAACTATACAGTCAACATATTATTGATTAAATAAGTGTTTTTGAATATAGCTACTTCATCTGTCCGCTTCAAAATTCGTAAAACATTTTTTGCCGCCCAATAATAAGACAAACCAAACCAGCACGAGTAGAGTACTGATCACGTAAATACGACACACTACGTAACAGCAGTAAAATACACCTGAGTGCGTTGGTGGTCGAACCCCGACTGATCTTCAGTTGAGGAGTTTCTAAGACTAGATATTCTTTTTTACACTATAGCAGCCGCGCAGGCAGAAGCCTAAATGGCAAGGCGCCGAGGCTGCTATGAGGATCCTTTTGCCTTTCACTTTCTTTTATTGAATTCAATTTATTACTTACTTTTTTAATTTGATTCCACCAATGTTTACCTCAGAAGATTCCTCATGGCAGGGTCCAACCCTAACCGCAACCATTAACTACTTTCTTCTGGATAACCTTAGTGTAGTTACCTTGGCACACCTGTAGTATGTCCAAGCATTCTCGCACTAGCGCATAAGTGTACATACGAGCAGAGCTGTCAGTAGATCAAAGAAGTTACTTGAAAATTGTATTCCAAATACTTTTTTATATTTGAAATATTATACTTTACTTCAGGTAGTTAATTTTCTGTGGTTTTTGGACTTGATATTTCAAATACATACATCATAAAGTATTTGCATTTGAATCTTGAAAATAAGAAAGGATTTCAAATACTGCACAATTTTACTTGGAGTACTAAAGCACTCGAAATACTTCAATAAGGTCATTCAAATACTCAAATAGTGCTTTTAATAATCAAAAAGTACTTCTAATACTCATAAAGCGGCTATTTGACGGTTTCAAATCCCAACTAAAATGGGTAGCTTGGCGACAAGCTACACGTAGCGCACAGTATTCATCAAATTGACGATATATGGCGATTGTTAGCATCTATGGTGCCGGTTAATTTGTAACCAATTTTAGCTGATACAGCAACATCCATAAGCGGTGTGACCACACAGTATGTGGATTGATGAAATGAGATCAAACGGATGTTTGGGGCACTAATAAGCACAATGGAGTTTTTTCAAGGTGTCGACATCCGATCATTACACTTTTGACCGTTCGACACAGTGCTGTTAGGCGCAGGAACTGGACGAGAGCCCCCTCCAAGAAAGTCGCTGAGAAAAGAAAAATATAAGGAAAATCCTTGTCACAAGGGCATTTACTCTAAGAAGTAGTAATTAAGTTTTTTTTAAATGCATGTCTCCCCTGTGGAGAGACTTGGCGTCGCTCAAATAGTAAATGTACCACGCGGACACGCACTCTCAGAGGAACATTTTGAACAGTTAGTTGTATTCGAATTAGCAGTGCACTGAACGGAGCATATTCTTATGCTCCGACAGCCAATTAGCCCTGAAAGCAGTAGCATTTTCGAGAACAAGGTCACCCTTTGTTCAGGAATGCACCACTGCTCTTCAGAGTTTAGCCCGATCTAAAGAAGTGACCCTGCTTTGGGGCCCCAAACATAGCGCCTAGGCTGGGCATAACAGGAGCCAGGTCAACACGGCCCGGAACAAATGGGTGTATAGGGGCCTGGGAAAGCGTGACCAGAGAGAGATCACTGTGCAAAGGTAAATTCTTAATGTGTTTCCTTGGAAATCCATGAAGACTGAAATAATTTAATGTCAATTACTGTTTAGGTAATTCAATAATTTGTCAAGTTTTTTAACTACTTCTCTAGGTATGTACTTTAGATGCTAGGCAAGTTCTTGACATATATTTCTAGTATTTGCAATACTCATACAAGTACTCCAAATACTGACAAGGTATTTGAATTACTTTACTGGAGAAAGTAAAGGATTCCAATAAAGTTTACGACACTTGAAATACGTTTTGAAGGAAAAATACTTAGTACTTGTACTTGCGGAGAAAAATTCCAAGTAATTGATGCTTAGTACTTGAAATACTGTTCACTGGTATTTGCGACAGCTCTGTATACGAGGCATGTCATTAAACATTTCATGAATCCCTCATACCTCTTTCTCCCTGGGACACTGTGCAGGTTCGCTTTCAGGCACCGGCGGCAAGAAAAACAGACAGAAAGAGCGGAGACTGATGAAGGGCTTCAACATCGGACCCCAACCTTCGACCTCGTCCGCTTCGTTACCTCCCGTTGCTGAGTTCATCGCGTCCTTACAACAGACACACCACCACCACACGGGCAGGTAATTAAAAACTTGAGCCTTTGAAATTACGTTATACAAGTTGTCCCAATATTCCGTGGATATAAAGGTACCACGTTTTGTAGGCTCAAAATAAGTCGATTGGTCACATCTATGCGAAAGTGTTACGTTTGTTCATTAAGACATTTAAAGAATCGATAGTCCGATTTGAATGAAATTTGCAACGCATATGTTTTGCTAGGCATTCTAATATTTGACTTTTAGAAAAAACTCTAAAGCGTACGGGAAGGGTGAAAACTACCCCCACCCCTACAGAAACTATAGAACATTTTTTTTACAACTTTACCGACGACTGAATTTTCTTATTTAGCAGATTTTTTATTTACTTTATAAATAGACCATCTCCGATAGTTTTCGATGAAAAAAATGAGTTGCATTAAGAGGTTCCCAAGAATACTATTAATCCTTTATTCAGCGAAAATAAACAAGTACTTAATACAATTGTATTTAATAGCAATAGTGCAAATCTTTCATAGAAGGTTGGAAATCACCACCGTTTTCGTTCCTGCACAAAACAATACAGCGCAAAAGATTATAGTTAACTTTCTCCAGGATGTCTTTATCCCTTAATGTATTTGCAGTCTGTTCCATAGTTGATCGGCGTTGTCTATGTGAACCTCGCACACCTTTGTCTTTAGTGCTCCCCATATAAAAAATCACAAGGATTAAGATCCGGGGAACGAGGTGGCCATTGCCAATCCAATTTCTTACAGCACGCGCAAGGTGAGGTGAAGTACTATCATGAATAAAAAATATGTCTCTTCTTACATTCATAGGCTGTCCTTCTAATAATTCAGGTAAACCGTATTATAGAAAATTAAGGTAGCTATCTCCGCTTGATTCCTCAGGCAACCTACACTAACTAAAAAGTTAACAATAATCCCCATCCAAATGTTAGTTTTAAAGTCCCATTTGTTTCTTCAGCGTAAACGTGTGTTTTATGCAAATTTATTGTACCACGTCGCGTTGGGTAAAACATGAAACATCTGTAAACAAAATTTTCTTATGCAGCGACCTATCAGCTGTCTGTGAGTGATGGTCAGTAGACAATAATTCCTGAACAGGGTGAAAGTGAATAGAACGAATGAGTTATTCATGTAAATTCCGGTTAACAGCGCCTTTTTGAAACCCTTGTTCATGTTCTAATCTGCGAGTGCTCGTACCTAGAACTTATTCGGTCACTTCAAGAACAGCTTCTTCTACTAGCTGTGTTCGGCAGTAGTATTATGTAAGAAAACCTAAGAAATATCAAAGAAAACCGTCATCTTGCAGACTAGGTAGTTTTTAGTGTACAAATAGTTCATTCCGCCCACGCTACAAATGAGCATGAAGTGAACAAGTTGACATCTTGTAGAAAAACCTACGTTCGTCACAAAAAACCTATAAAATGTCAAAAAACGACAAAATATCACTTTTTCAAGATACGTAATACACGTGCGAGTTGGTAGCGGCTTATCAGCGTTGACCCAGAGGTTGGATTATCCCGAAGTCGGCGTTCTATGCTTGCAAAAGTCTGATAATTTGGAATCCATCCATTTGGATGTTTCTCTTAAGAAACTCGAACACTTGCATTTACCTTCACAGGTACCAAGTACTCCAAGTACTAACATGTCAGTCTGTTCGACACAAGAAAAACATGTAACAACAATAACTTATTCAAAAATGACCTCAAACGTTAATCAATTTAAAATAGGAATAGGAGTAGACAACAAATTAATAATCATATATAAACTAAAGCATTACTTATTAATTTGAGCTTTATGAAGCTTGTTGTCAAAAATAACCTGACACTGACATAACATCCCACATTTCCGCCAACTAGATGCCTTTTAATACTTGATGTAAAAAAATGTTTAGAAACCAGCTCCGAAAAACATTCTTTCTCGAAATCATGGCGAAATGGTATATTTTTATAAGAGACAAAAAATAACGCAAATATAAGGTTGATATGATTTATGCGGAAATGGGGGTAGTTTTTACGCTTCTCGAACAACTTTGGATTTTTTGAAAAAATCAAATATGTATTAGGACGTCTAACAGAACACGTGTGCTCCAAACTTCATTCAAATCGGACCATCAGTTCTAAAAATATCTGAAGAACCGTATTTAAAAAAGAAAACTAACGCTCTCTAACGGACAAAGGAAGCGCTTTGCATGTTCAATCGACCTATTTTGAGTCTGGAAATACGTAGTATGTTCTCGGAATATTGGGAATATACACCCGAAAAATAAGCTAACCCATTAGCTGTCCGGTGTACAAGCAGCTGGCTATCCATAGTTATGTCTCATAGTACGTATTGGCAGACATAGACATATAAAAAATGTCTTAATTTAGTGCCTTAAATGGTTGGCAAAAACTATGTATAGTGGTTCCGTTATCATGTATGCTTATGAGTCCGCCTTAAGAGGTAAAGTATAATCAAAATAGGGAATTGGATCCAAAATTATTCTAGATCAATTTTTCTGGTTATTTCAGCCAATATTAGAGCAAGTGTTCTTCTCAAGAAGTATTTAATTTTACTCATAATGATAACAAAAACATTTTTCTGCTTCCGAGATGGCATACTGGAGGTAAAGGCTTAGTGAGGATTTGTGTGCTAATAATATGTGTGGATGATAATTCCGTTGGATTCTTGTCTCAAATACACTTTCGTGAGATTCAAAGCTCGAAATTAGTTGCATTCACTTTCATATGCAAATTTGTTGAATTTAAAAAATGAGAGACATAAGAAATACTTATATTCACTATACATTGACGAATTACAAGTCATATACATTCTAACAGTAATTACACACAACGCGGGCGCGGTGGTGATTCCCCGTAATTCTCCTCAGAGTTTTTGAAAACATAAAAAAACGTAAAAAATCGTAATTGATAACTTGGAACATAACCTGTCTTCCAAAAGGGCAACATAAATAACTCGTCGACCACAGCTGATAGATATACTTCATTGGCAGCATATGCAGTAATTATTTTCTCACATAGCAAATATCATTGATTTCATACACATGCAGACCAATACACCTAATCCTGCGATCTTACTCTTCAACCAAATAACCAACTTTCTACACAGAGACTCAGAGATTAAAACTATAGACCACTCTGCTTCACAATACATACGCAACCAACAATGCGTGCACGTGTAGTTGAGAAAATCCTCCACAGATGGACGCTCACAACGATCCTAGTGAGCAAGCCCCAAAGACTGTCTAGTCTGCAAGATGACATCTCATAGGTTTTTTTAGACGTTTTTTAGTTTTTTTACATAATACCCGTTATAAAATATCATCTTGCAGACTAGTTTTTAAAGTGTAAATAGTCATTCCACGTTTGCTCACTAGGATCATCTATAGAGGAATGACTCAGCTAAACTACACGCATTATTGGTTGCATATGTTTTGTGAAGCCGAGTAGTCTGTAGTTTTCATCTCTAAGAAGAAAGTTGGTTGAATAGCAAAATCGCATCTGGATGATTATGTGTATTGGTCTGCATGTGTCAGTGATATTTGCTGTAAAAGAATATCATTACTGAATATGCTGTCAGTGAAGTATATCTGTTAGCTGTGCCCGACGGGTTATTTAGTGTTGTGCTTTCTGAAGAGAGGTTATGTTCAAGGTTATAAATTACGAAAGACTTTGAGAAGAATTACGGGAAATCACCGCGCCCGCATTGTGTGTAATTGCTGTTAGCATGTATATGGCTTGTAATTCGACAGTGTAGTGTGAATATAGTTATTTATTACGTCTCTCATTTTTGAAATTCAGCAAATTTGCATCTGTAATTTCCAGAAGTAATAAGAAAAAGTTGATGCGCAACTAATGCATAGCTTTGAATCTCAAGTAAGTGTGTTTGAGACAAGAATCCAATGAAACTATCATCAACACCTACAACTTACAGCTTAGACCTCCAGTAATGCCATCTCTGAAGCAGATTTTACATCACATCAGAGCCAAACATTGTAAACTAAAGAATCATGAGGTTTAGGCATCATGTACAACTAGGTGCTAAGTTAACATCTTATAGAAAAACCTACATAATGTCATAAAAAACCAATACAATGTCAAAAAAAATCGGCATAATGTCACTGTTCAAGATACGTAATACCCGTGCCGGACCGTAAAACCTTGCTCTGGTTCTTTCGTCATCTTTGGGAGTAAGTAAAATTGAACTTATTAACAAAAATGTGAATTTGAATTATGTTCAAAACTCCAATTCTCAATAAAGTTCTATCGCCTATTTTGTGGGGTCACTACTGGCAAATTTTTTAATGACTGATCCATGTCTAAGAATATAGTTTATAATAATAAAGTGGACTACTATTTTTTTACGTAAAATAAGCCATATAAGCTAAACGTTTCATATGAAGTTGAAATTCACCACACACCACACACAAAAGTAGGCCGATAAGCTTTGCCTGATTTGCAAAACTGGTGAATGTGCTTATTGTAGTTGCCAGGTCAAAAACTGAAGGAGCCGTATACTAAAAGAATTATGTATTTCACTTAAATACCTTGTAGAAATATTTTGGGAGGTGCTATGTTGGTCGTGACCATGATCCTTACAAGGCTAGCTTAAAGGCAAGTTGATTTTATGAGTTTTGTGCTGGAATAGGTCTTGCACGAGTTGCTCGAGAATTCAGGAAATTCAAAGGATAGGTGGCTTTTCAATGGCACATTTCATGTCTTACTTTTGATTCATTTTGAAATCTATATCTATAATCCATACGCCTTCTGAAGATATTTGTTACAATTTTTTTTCGAACGAAATATTTCTTTTGGTATACTGATTCTCCAAGCTTTTGGTCTGAGAACTACAATCGGCACATTCACCTTTTTTTTAATCATGCAACTTATTCGACTATTTCTTGGAAGCTAATCATAGAATTGCTTTGGTCATGATTACTTTCGTTCGGGATGGAAATAAATATGTATAACATGCAAAATTTTTAGACAAATCAACTGGGACGATTTTTCATTTATTTTGCACCTGGTCCTTTCAAGATGACGGCCATCTAGGGTCTTAAAATGTAGTGGGAGTTCATGTACTATAATGTACAACTTTGAAGCTTTTGGAATGGCAGCACGTTGCCAAACTTGAGCGTTTGTGTACATTGAGTCTCATGGAACTCAATTAGCCATCAAAATGTTATAGTATCATCATCATGCGATCCATTGTTACATCAATATTCGCCTTTTGGGAGACTATATCTTAAAGTATAATTAAATATGGGTCATTCAGTTATAAAGAAATTGACAAACGCACAATTTTGACAGTCTGCTAATTCGTCATTTTGAAAGATATTGAGTTGAAACCCTTGTATTCTAGGGTACAAAGTATCCATAAGCGTTTTAAGAAAAGACACCAAAATGGTGCCCAATCACCGTTTTGGAATTTTAAACCTACACTCTTACGTTAAACACACAAGTAAGTAGGGGGTGAACGTTTTGAAAGACACTATATACATGTAAATTATCTTAAAATATATGTCTTTTCAACTACTCCCAAAATAGTCAAGACAGTCATCATCATCACCATCACCATCACGACTTCTTCGGCAGCACTCTGTCTGGCATTTTCGCCGGTGCAACGGGTCATCAAAGGAAAGGTCACATTGGATCAACAGTTAGTTCTTCACAGGGTAGCATCAACGAAGGTCACCATCATCACCACCATAAAAGGTACGTAAGCCTTATCCAAGAAAATTTTAGTAGTTTTGAAATAGTGTTCAGTATTTTTCAAAATCACGTATACCTGGGGCATTGCCAAAATATTTCTTTTTTGTTTATTAATTTAATTTTTCAGAAGCTCATTATTATTGTGATGCAAGCTTGAGGAGACACTTTTAGGAATTTTAAAATTTGTACATGTAGGAGAAATTAATGCATAAAAAGTACTTAATTAGTCTACTTGACGCCACTATTTATTTTCAGAATGAATCTGAAACGATCACACTCCCACAAGAGGCGATGGGGTACTTTGATTGAGGCTGCTAAGACAGGCAAGGTTTGTACCCAAACTTAATTTATTCTAAGTAACTGACTACATCCACAATTCTTGTGAATGTTATATTTCGACAAAAAAGAAAACTCTTGTATAGATTCTTATGGATATTATGATTTTTAAAATATATCATCTGACGATTTTCCAAAAATCACACAAGCAACTACACGTAATAAGCAAATAATTGTTGACGTTTAGTTTTACTTGCCTAATAATGAGATTACCAATTTTTTGTCTGGAAAGTTTCTGAGACAACTTTTAATAGATGTATTCAAATTCTCTTCGTCGAACTTCGCATATTCCTCAGACAAAGTTCCTCAAGTGCTAAAATTTGTTGTACGTCTCTAATTTATGACGAATTTACGGGAATCGAGTAATTTATGTACAATATTTCCACAGGCTCAACTTTTGATAAAGTAGAATAAGTAAGAAGGCAACAGACTAATATAGTATCTTAATATTAATACGGCTTAAATGAATAATATATCCAGTGGTCTATTATTCACCGACACGGGCTGTAAATCTTAAACGATCCACTGAGCTAAAGATCAGCAGCACGACCAGGCTACAAATGGAGGTTAAAATACTTCCAACTAATACATATTAAACCACCCCATGATAAAATATGGCTATATGTATGCTGATCAGTCAAGACTATCAAAGAATTCCAAATTCCAAATCGATTGATTAGACGCTATAATTTAGAGAATTATAATAAAGGTCACTTAGGCCCGATTTTACTAACAGGAGATTAAAATTTTTGATCCGGTTCTTAAGGGACCAATGAGAAGGCATCTTTCTAATAATGAATCTAATGAATATAGTCGATTTTTTATAAAATATCACTCAAACTAGCGAGAAAATGTAGGATTTGTGTAAGGAGGGCCTCTAGTTCCCATATTAAATCAAGAAATTATTTATCTATAACCTGATTTAGCTACAAAAACAAATTTTTTTCAGTTAATCCGGGAATCAAAGCCTATGATCCGGACCAACAGTGACCAATTAGGAAGCGTTTTCGTAAAACTTCATCGAATATAGTCCAATCCGAGAGGAGCGTTTAATGCCTGCCCCAATCGTGGAACAAGCCTGATATAATGCCTAGATTGATATGGCATCATTTACTGAACACTTTATTGAAAAGAAGAGTATTACTTACCTGAGAGATATAATTTTACAAAAATTAGCGTTAAATGTTGCAATTTTTAGATATATGAACCACTGGTTGGCATACACAACATCTGTGCGTGCGCAATATTTATGCAAAGTATTGGCAATCACATTTTTAATAACAGTATTTCAGTATACATATAACGTATAGTATGTACGTTTCTTGGAAAAAATAAAGAACTGAATCTTTATCTTATTTGAAACTAGGACTGCCTTTTATCAGCTCAGCTGACCAGTCCCAGAACTGTCCATGTCCAGTGCTACCACATCAAACTGTTCAATGAAAAATCGTGAAGCTGAAATCGATGCAGATCCACAAAATAAACGTTAGATTGGTCATATTACACTCCATTTTGATTCGTTCAATTGAATTAAAAAATAAATGTTATTAGGTTCAACTGCTATGGTTAAAGTAACTAACATTATTTAGCTTGTTGATACATATTATTCATGTTTGGCAGTAGCACAAATGTATCAACTGTCAAGAGTAGAGGGAAAATGAATACTAGAGATGGGGCTGGGAGGATGCGTTCGCAAATATTCACAAGCGTTAATTAAAGTGATTCAATGTCATGCATAAGCACAGTATTCTTATCGGAACTTCTTATCTTAATTCATTGCATGTACGTATACGAAAGAAATCTGTGGTTGTTGTATGTTGATCAAGCTCTGTAATTACCTAACTATCGATCTTACGATGTACAAAAAATGACATCTCGCTCCTGGGTGTGGCTTGGAGGAAAATACTTATTTAGAATTTGGTTACAAAAAAGTTATTTCGGGTGCTGCTACGATCAGTACGAGCTTATTTTGAATGTGATACTGAGCTGATTTTGGGTTTGTGGTGAATGTTATTCAATGTTCTAATAATGTAAGTAGGTATAAGTTTAATACAGTTTCATCTGGATAGTTTCAGTGTCAGATTAGTATAAGTGATCTGCAAGTAGACCCATATTTCACTATAATGGATTCATCCTCATCAATCTTTGACCGAGACGTGGCATCTTCGTATCGTGCTAGGAAGCAAGGAGGTCCAGTGCCGTAATTGTTTGAATCATCTGAATTCTTATACACACCTCATCTAGTAGGAAAAGAATCACAAGAAAGAAGAGTTTCCATTTTACATGTTACAGACTTTATGTTATTACAGACTTTTCTTGTTGTTACATAATTTCTTATCTGGTTTCTACCATTTCTTTACAAATTTAATAAAACAAATTCATACATTCGTTTGAACCATATAAAGGTCTTTAAAATAATTGTAACCGAGAATCATATCTGTTCACCTTGAAGAACGACATGCGGATTAGGTACAGCAGCAAAAACATGTTATCCAGGAAGATAATTAAAGACTTTGTTGGAATCTTCACCTAATTAACAAACGATATATCCTTTTTCCAATCCTCTCATGTGCTTGACGTGCAAAAATCAAATACCGATTGCAACTAGATTAATCGCAGGTTTCAAGGATAGAATCAAAAAATAATTTTGCAGACTTCTCAATGCTCTCAGTTAGAGACGCGTGGACGCTTTCCAATAACTGCCTGATTAAAGAATGCCACACAAAGCATACGGGAAAGGGGATACCGTAAAATTTGTTGAATTTGCAATATGCTGTACATTATGATCTTTTAACTGAACGTCTTCATATACACAAAGTTCTGTAATGACTATTTTTCGAGATCGAAAGATGTTATATGACACAACTAGATGGAATTTCTTCAAAAATTTTTTGTACATTGAGATACTTCTGTATGCCACATAATGCATGTTAATATTGAATATGAGGCCGCTGACTCATTCCTTTTTTCAAATACTTCACAAAAATGCAGCATGTGTTCAGTAACACCGGCCCGGGTATCATGTAAAAAACCTATAAAACGTCAAAAAAACCTATAAGATGTCAACTTGCAGACTAGGTAGTTTTTAGGGTGCAAACAGTCATTCCACGTTTGCTCACTAGGATCGTTGTGAACGTCCATCTGTGGAGGAATCACTCAACTAAACTACACATTGTTGGTTGCATAGCTTTGTGAGGCTGAGTGATCCGGGTCTGTAGTTTTATCTCTGAGAAGAAAGTTGGCTTAATAGCAAGATCGCGTCTGGATGATTATGTGTGTTGGTCTGCATGTGTATAAAATCAGTGATATTTGCTGTGTGAGAAAATCATTACTGAATATGCTGAATATGACGGGTTATTTATATGTTGTGCTTTCTGAAGAGAGGTTATGTTCAAAGTTATAAATTATGAAAAACTGAGAATTACGGGTAATCATCACCGCGCCCGCGTTGTGTATAATTACTATTAGCATGTATATGGCTTGTAATTATACAGTGTACAGTGAATATGATTATTTCTCATCTCTCTCATTTTTGAAATTCAGCAAATTTGTATATGTAATTTCCAGAATGGATAAGAAAAAGTGGATGCCCAGCTAGCTTTGAATCTCAATTAAGTGTATTTGAGACAAGAACCCAATGTAATTATCATCAACACATACAACTTACAGCCTAGACCTCCATTAATGCCATCTCAGAAGTAGCTACTAAGTTAATATCTTGAAGGCTAACCTACATAATGTCAAAAAAAACCAGCATAATGTCAAAAAAAAATCGGCATAATGTCACTTTTCAAGATAGGTGATACCCGTGCGGGTTCCAATTCAGCTTGAAACCTACTGTATACAGTAGGTTAGGTTAGGATTTTAGGAAATGACATGTATCAGTGTATGTTTGGGAAGCCAATTATATTCGTCAAAACTCAATTAAGTACCTGGGTATGTGGCTCTACAAGATCTGAAAATGACAGGACACATAAGGAACAGCACTGAAAATGCAACTACTCCTAATCATCTTCTTGTATGTAGTAGATAAGAGACAGCTGGCTCGGCAATAGAAGCTCGGTCTTCGGACAAGAAATTCCGATAAGCCAATACTATCGATCTTTTCTATCTGAATGTGATGTTCCCCTGGCCAAAAAAGGTCATAGTATCCAACGTCCTGCAGATTCATTCAGTTCCATTGTATCTCCATTCTGGTATGCTGTGTGTGCTTGAGCACTAACATATACGAGTATTGCTCATTGTTACCACGTCAGGTGGCTTTTGGCCCCTGTAATCACGTATCTGCTTAAGTTGAATAAAAGTTGCTACCGAATTACACGAACTGAGAGGAACCACTTTCCAGCCACCTGATTCTGATTGAGAAAAACCGAAAGTGATTTGTCAAACTTGACCATTTTGGTACAATACGGATGTAATTTTTTTTCTATTTAATTATTGCAAAACAGTTTATAGTGGAATTACATACAAAAGGATTTTACCTTAGAATTAGATATCAGTTGATCAGTCCGTTAACTATCTATCTAGTTTGGACTTTTGAAGTTTGTTCAGCGTATTTCAATAATAAAAATGTTTGAGGTAAAATCCTGCAATATTCTTATGAAAAGATCCAGCCTCCCCTATTCTGAAACACCGTAGAAGCTTATTATTGGAAACACATATGAATAATATGCGTGTCTTATCCTCGATAAAAGTCAACGATATATAGTATAGATCACATCAGTCATTTAGATCGCTATAAATACCTGAATATCTCACACAAGACTTGAAGATATTTTAAAGCAGTAGCGTTCACTTGGATATCGGAAAGAATCGCGTCCGTGGAACTGTTGGTGGTGTACTCTGGAGCCGCAGAGTGGTTTTTTACCATTTTGACCCATATACTCTGTGACATTTGTGTCAGAAATTGTAAAAGTCGCACGAGTTAATATCCGCAGGCCGCTGAGAACGAAGCAGTAGGATATAACTATGCTGAAGGCAAGAAAAGGAACA